AAGTCAAAATCAGAAGTGATAGCTGAAAGGAACATTACATACCAAATTTGCTTTTAAAAATGGATGTGAAAATAATAAATAAAATATTTGTAAAATGCTTCACATGATAGCTAAAATTATAATTCATTCTATTAGTCCAGCTTATTTTAGGAATGCAAGTTTAATATTTTAAAAATCTAATGTAATCCACCAAATTAAAGAAATAAAACATACAATTGTCTTAATAAATGTATCGGAATTTCTGACAAAATTGAATATCCATTCATAAAACATCTATTAACAACATAAGAATGGAAGGAATATCTTTAACCCAATATACACATTACAACATGGATGTCTACTATCACACATTATTAACACTTCTTTAAATATTTTCTGGAGGTCATAGCCTGTGCAGTAAAACAAAACAAAACAAAAAAGTTAAATCTCTAAATAATTAGAAGGGATATAATAAAATCTTAATTATTTTGCATGTGATATAATTTTTTTAAATAGAAAAAAAGAAGAAAATTATTATAATTAAAAAGAGAGTTTAGCAGGATTACTTTATAGGACAACTGAATAGTATTCCTCTACACCAGCAATGGGAAATATTTTAATTTTAAAACATACTTTTATGTTAACATTGACCACACACTTAACCATTATCTTAATTTGTTCAGGCTGCTATAACAAAATGCCTTAGATTAGATAACTAGTAAACAACAGACATTTACTTCTTATAATTCTGGAGGCTGGGAAGTTCAAGATCAAAGTGCCTATGGTATCTGGTAAGGGCCTGCTCCCTCACACATGGTGCTTTTTAGCTGTGTCTTCACATGATGGAAAGACAATATAATATAATCACCTCCCAAAGACCCCAATCTCTTAATACTATCACCTTGGGGGTTAGGATTTCAATATATGAATGAACATTCAGACTATAGCAATAATATTAAGGATTTATTTTTATATTATTATAAGGATGGCATTTCTTCCCAAAGTGATTTTTAGTCTCAATGTGATTTCAGTCACAATGTTGGCATGGAAATTAGTGAGCTCATTCCAATATTCATATGGAAGAGAAAAGAAAAATAATTTAAGATTTTCTGATGAACTAGTAGTGTGACTTGCCATTCTGGATATTAAGACCTATAATAAAGTTGTAATAATGAAAACAGCACATTATTATGGAGATGGAAGAAAAAGACAAATTGAATTGATTTGGGAACGCAGACACACCCAAACACATATGGTAACTCATATCCGACAGAGTTATCATTGCACATTAACAGGGCATATTTGACAAGGGGTACTAGGACTCATGTTGGAAAATGTGAAACTGGATTCCTGCCTCCTGCACATACCTGCACACATATACACACATGTTCTCCAAGTAAACACTGAAATGTGAAAAACAACTTCTTAAAACTTTTAGGAAAAAAAAATGAGAATAACTTTATGACCACAGCATTGAGAATTTCTTAAGCACATCAGAAAATGTGAAAACAATTATATTAAAAGCTCTATGCATTAAAATTATAAACTTTGGTTTATCATAAGACAATACATTGCAAATAAAAAGAGAAGACAAAAACTAGGATAAAATGTGTGCCATACATATGACCTAAAAAAGATTATTCAGAACATGCAAAAACTTCTATAAATATAGGCAAAAATAAGAGCAGTTATTATATATAAAAGGAAATGTGAATAGCTAAATAATACATGAAAAGATCCTCACTGGTAATCATGAAGAAGCACATTAAAACCACAATGGGATATAATCTTACCTTCATTGGGGAGCGGAAATTGGATACAGGAGCAGAGGGTGGTAAAGGAAGCCTTGGAAAACTATTTAGTATATCCTGCATTCCAGCAGTTGTACTTCTGAGTTAAACACATAATGAAATATTACTTTATACTCACTACACTGAAAAAAGTATAATATAAAATAAAATTTAAAAGTAAAATAAAATAATGGACAATACCTAGTACTGCTGAGGAATGGAGGAAGTAGAGCTGTCATGAAAAGATGACAAGAGTATAATTAAAATAATTCTTTTAAAAGCATTTTGACATTTTGGAATGAAGTTACACAGGTGCATACCTTATGGACCAATAATCCCTTGCCTAAAGTAACTTTTGCATATGTCTATCAGGAAACATGAAAAAGAATATCCAGTGCAGCATCGTTTACAATAGTGAAAAACTGAAAACAACTTTAAAATATTTATCTTAGGAAAATTGATTAAAAACCTGGAGGAATCTCAGACGCCCAATATTGAGTAAAAACCGCAAGTATGAAAGCCATATACAATATGCCAATTTTGTAAAAGTGAAAACACCTATAATTAAAGAAATTGTTAAAGAGATATACATATATGTATATAAACCTATTTTAAAAAGACAATGAGAAACAACAAAATCAGATTGATGCTTACCCTGGGGATCGAGGCAAGTGATTGAATAGAGAAAAACTATTCTTGGGGCTTTGATAATATTATCGATCTTCTACTTCATAACCTGGGTGGTTCCTTTCACTACTCTTTATAATTGTATATGCTCTATATTCCTTATATGTTTACATTATTTCATATTATTAAAAATTATATTATAAAGTACATATCCCATAAATTAAAAGTGAAGTAAAGACTGTATACATTTTTTCACTCATTAATTTTAGCTTAGTACTGAAAAATATTTAGAAATCCTCCACAATTGGGACAAATTGCTAATTCTTCAGTTGAGCCCCAAAAGAAGTATTTCATTTGCCTTTGGTGGCCTTATAGTATAACACACAATGTTTTCAGTTGCTTGCACCATAAAGCAACTGAGACCAACAAAAGGAATGGCAGATTAAACATCTTGCGCATTCCCTGGTGGATTTATGTTCATCAATTAACTGTGTAGAGGAGCAAACAAAATATAAAGCAGTCTTCACATTCTTTTTTTTCTCTTTGTCTGTCAATGTTAACGATATATTGCTATGTTTGTATAAATAAAATATGTATTTTGAAACCTCATTTTATATGGATTTTAACAGAACATTATTGATGCACCTTTGTAAATGACTTTCCTGTCAAATCGTGTTGTTTTAACTCAGTTTGCCTGCCCCATCCCAAAAATACAGAGAGAATGCAATAGCAATGGAGAAAGAGGATAGGAAAAGGTAGAGAACAGATAAGGTAACAACAACAAAACAAAACAAAGTGGAAGGCAGATCCCTCTTACTGGTAATGAAAAATAATATAATTCTTCTCACCAGCTCTTCCATAAAATTTAGGTGGCACTGTTGACTGATCCAAGTAGATATTTAAAAAAAAAAAAAAAAAAAAAAAAAGAAAAGAAAAGAAAAGAAGAGGGAAGAAAGCATGAATAGGAGTAGCTTCACAAAGATAGGAGATAACTGAGAAACTGTTTTTATTGCATCTTCCTGTGTAGGCCAGCTTCTAAGCTATGGTCTCAGACTTACCTTTTATCTCTTGTAATGCTTTCTTACCACTATTGTGCCTGTTTCTTATTTCTTTTCTAGGCATGTACTGTTGCAGGGGTGTCCAACCTTTTGGCTTTCATGGGCCACATTGGAAGAACACTAATTGTGTTGGGTCACACAATAAAATACATTAACACTAACAATAACTGATAAGCTAAAATAAATAAATAAATAAAAAATAAAAAATCTTTTTAAAAAGTCTCATAATGTTTTAAGAAAGCTTACAAATTTGTGTTGGGCCACTTTCAGCCCTGTCCTGGGGCCACATGCAGCCCATGGGCCATAGGTTGAACAATAGAGTTTAGGAGTTGTTAAATAAACAGGGTCCTGGAGGAAATAAGCAAGAAAAATAATGTGATGGGCAAAAATAACAATAATATCAAAATAAACACTTAGATAATAGCTTGGATAGCAATAAGATTCTTTTAAGAAGGTACATTTTTGCCCCAAAAGGAAATTATTCCTTTTTGGTCCCTTTTTATTAATATTTCAGCCACGAAACTGAAAAAAAAATTATCTGGATTAAATTATTTTTATTAAGTTCTCATGTCTGATTCTGTTCTAGGTACCATACACAAATTTTTAACAGATTTTTTTCTGGTTTCTAGTATGTCATAAGCAAAAACAGTGTCACTGGATTATGGGATAGGTATAGGAATAAATATACGAAGTACAGAAAGTACAACACAAACAATTTCATATTGGTTTGGCAATCTGTGTTTTTGTTTTGATTTTATTGAAAACCGTGCTCATAGCATCATGTAATTTGGCATAAAATTTGTATCTAAAGAGCTCTCTCTGTATTATTTTAAATAGCAATAACTATATGTCAATCATATCATTTTACATGAAATCACCTTAACTATAACAAAGAAATGTCTCAACTGGAATGACACCTAGATTTTGGAATTGACTTTTAAGTGGATTACGTTGATGTTGATAGAAGGATCAGAACTAACAGAAGATCTAGTAGGCATTAATATCACTCTTCTCTGCAATGCCATAGAGCTGTGTTAGTGGGGTTTTTTTGTTTGTTTGTTTGTTTGTTTTTCTTTGGAAAGAGTCTCACTCTGTTGACAAAGCAGGAGTGCAATGGTTCCATCCTAGCTCACTGCAGCCTCCAACTCCCAGGCTCCAGTGATTATTCCACCTCAGCCTCCCAAGTAGGTGGGACCACAGATGCTTACCAGGACAACCAGCTAATTTATTTTTTAATGTTTTGTAGACAGAGAGTGTTGCTATGTTGCCCTGGCTAGTCCTGTGCTTAAGCGATCCTCCCTCCTTAGCATCCTAAAGTGCTGGGATCACAGGCATGAGCTACCACAATGGCCATTAGTTCTTAATTTAAGAAATTGATTCATTCTGCTTTGATTTGTGTTTATGTTTCATGTGGTAGGGTCCTGTCTCATTTATCTTTCAGTATCCCACAACATGTATTAATATTGTTCGTATATTGAGCAGTCATATCTCAAAAGAATAAAGAATTATCCTTTTAAAAAAAGTTTTCTTTAAAAATTTATTTCAGAAATTTGGTACAACTGTATAAAAGTGAAGATGACATGGAAATTTCAAAGAAGATTAAGACTCAGTGGACCTCTTTGGGCCTAGAAGATGTACAGTTTGTAAATTACTCTGTGCTGCTTAATCTGCCAGACCCTTCTCCCAGCACTGTGACTCTGAGCAGCAGTGGTCAATGCTTTCATCCTAATGGCCAGCCTTGCAGTGAAGAAGCCAGAAAAGATAGCAGCCAAGACCGGCTCTATTCATATGCAGCCTATTCTGCCAAAGGAATTCTCAAGGTAATATGACCATTTGTCTCTGTCATTTACAGTGAGATGGAATTAGAAAACAACAGCTTTCATCTAAATTGAACTAACTGGCAAGGTGCAACATACAAAAGTAACCATTAAATCTTCTCAATGTGGAGGTGCCAGGAAAGAGAAGGACGATGTGGCCTTCCCGACCCTTTTCTTGTCATATTTTTAAAGTGAAGACATGTTAGAAAAATTTAATTCAAAGGTGTCGAATGTGTGACTGAGTCATTCACATTTTGCTCTGTTGATACAGTGCAAGTCTATTTCATTCTATGGCTTTGAAGAGGCAAAATTTAATACATTGATATAGAGAAAGGGAAAGAAATAGAGAGGGTTGTGTTTTGAGATTCTGTACACACAAAAGAAATTAAGTGGAAAATTGATATGATTATTAACACATTTAAGATTTGAAACACAACGCCCCTGCTTTCATGATGAAAAACACATGCGATAAGAAGCCAGGTGTGCATTATTTCTTCACCTTTTCTGGGTCAGCAGATTTATGATGCAGTTTTTTTTTTTTTTTTCTTTTTTTTTGCATAGTGGTTAAGTGCAAGGCTTGTAGAGCCACATGGACTAGTTTTAAATCTCAGCTCTCCAATTAACCACCGTTACTTAACTGTGGGGAGGAAACTGGGGCTGATTTCCTCATCTCTGTATTGGAGTCAATAATAATTCCAACTCATAAGGTTGTAAATCTAGGAGGACAGAGCATAGCCTATAGTAAGAACAATATACAAGTTAGATACAACATGTAATTTGGTCAACAGTTTCTTTTCTATGGGCAAGTTTTCTAACTCTATGTAAAAGTATAATTTGAAAAAATACACTTAGGTTTTTTTTTTTTAATCAAAATGTATATTGCCTCATTTAATACCAATGAAATAATGTTATTTTTCTGACTGTTGTTAATAGCACAAATGTTTCAGAATCTAACTAATATTTTTTTTTTTTTTTTTTTTTTTGAGATGGAGTCTGGCTCAGTCGCCCAGGCTGGAGTGCAGTGGCCGGATCTCAGCTCACTGCAAGCTCCGCCGCCCGGGTTTACGCCATTCTCCTGCCTCAGCCCCCCGAGTAGCTGGGACTACAGGCGCCCGCCACCTCTCCCGGCTAGTTTTTTGTATTTTTAGTAGAGACGGGGTTTCACCGTGTTAGCCAGGATGGTCTCGATCTCCTGACCTCGTGATCCACCCGCCTCGGCCTCCCAAAGTGCTGGGATTACAGGCTTGAGCCACCGCGCCCGGCCAGAATCTAACTTATTATTAAATTTGATTAATATATGGGATGTTTAAATCATTTTAAATTACTTTGCATAAATACTTGAAATAATAACAGTAAATGCTCGTTCCTAATAGATTTTGGGGGAGTGGGAGGGAGAGGCAGATTTTCTGGCAGTCCAGCATCGTTTCTATTCTGTATATATCATACTTTGACTTTTAGCCAAAGAGCTGCATATAACTATTACCACCTTGAAAAGTCTTACCATTAATTAAATTTTAATATAATAGTAAATGTCTGCAGTATTTCTACTATAGGACTCATGTAATTTGATTTGATTAATATTATGCTCTTTCTGGTAGGTAATAATGGTAACACACCTATATATTAATAAAAAAAGAGGAAGGCAACTGTCACTCTTTCCTTGATTCAGAAGCTTTGGCCTTAAGCCAAGACTCTAAAAGTTACCCTGGTATTTTCTCTAAAACTCCTAACTCTGCCCAAACCATAGGCATTTTCAACCTCTTCTTTATCCCAGTTTGCTCAGGTCATGCCTTCGCCTAAATAAAAGCATGTCTAAAACACAGAACATTCACAAAAACACCAGGAACTTGAGTGGGTCCTTGGAATCGTCCCCATCTCCTTGCTTTTCAATTTCCGCTGGTGAACATTGATTATTCCTTGAAGAAGGAGATATGCAAAACTCATGAAACTACAACTTGCATCCTTATTTCCTTAGCATGGCTCTCTGTAATAACCCGCTGGGCCCAGTGGATTGAAGGTAGAATAACATTAAATAAATTCCTTAGATATGGGTTCACCACAAAAACCCTCCCTCAATGCTCCTGCGCTTTCGTATTATTATGCAGTTTCCACCCAGACCAAGGAAAGAGATATCCTATCACTGTACAGCTTCCCAGAGCCCCTTATGGGAGCATGTATATGTTGGTCTTACTGTATAATGGGGAGATTCACTGGATCTGGAAAATTAAATTTCTATGACTCCTTTATACTCGGGACTTACTGCATAATAAGGGAGAGATGGGAGAGGAACCCTTCAATAACAATTTGTTTACCTTGGTTTAAAAGGGATATTGGCTGGGCGCGGTGGCTTACGCCTGTAATCCCAGCACTTTGGGGAGGCCGTAATCCCAGCAGTTTCGGAGGCCGAGGCGGGTGGATCACCTAAGATTAGGAGTTTGAGAAGATCCTGACCAACATGGTGAAACCCTGTCTGTACTAAAAAAAATACAAAAAATTAGCCGGCCCGGTGGCCGGCCCCTGTAATCCCAGCTACTCCTGAGGCTGAGGCAGGAGAATCGCTTGAGCACGGGAGGCGGAGGTTGCAGTGAACCGAGATCGCGCCATTGCACTGCAACCTGGGCAACAAGAGCGAAAATCCTTCTCAAAAAAAAAAAAAAAAAAAAAAAAAAAAAGAGAAAAGAGGGGGCAGGGAGGGTGGATATTAACAGATATTGTATACTTCTAATTTCTGATTCATACTCACCACTAGCAAACCCTCATAATAATGGAGGTGGTGGTGGAGGGAAGAAAGTCAGGGAGAAGATCACTTGGAAGAATCTGTTTGGCCCTAGAGTTCCAATACTGAGCAAATCCACTTTCCTATGATATTTGTGCAGATATTGGACACAGAGTATTAGACGTAATTGTATGTTTGCTTTTTATATATTATAAAATACTAGGCTGAATCGCAAAAATGTCAATCACCCCCTTCATTCTAACCGATGATGCTGTAGGATGGATATGTAAATATTCTTCTCCCGTTATTTTCTTTATTCTTTCATACTTCTGCAATTAGATAGCCTCACCTTCAAGTGTCCTGCGTTCAAGTAGTGTGTAAGAGTAATAAATTTTTGGCTATTTAGTGTCCATTGTTAGACTCCTTCACACAACTGAATGTCATCTCATTTTTAATGTAAAATAAATTTTTAGTTTAAAATATATGTAATATTACTAATATGTAAAGAGGTTTAATATTTTAAGAAATAAGTTAAAAATGTGAATTTGCAAAATTCCATAGCTTCAACCTTCTTACTTTAAAAAACTGAGCCTATTCCCTTTCTTCTAGATATTTTTAGACCACACCAAATTCCAAGCAGTCACTGGTTGATTAGTTTATAAAGACTCTATAATTATGATTTTATTAAAATTAAAATGTATTCATACCTGAAGTATTTTAATATCTTTTTCAAATTTAGCAGTCATTGTTTGTGAAGGTTAAGTTAGCCTCCATAAATTTTACTTGAGCACCATTTTTATTTCCTTGACAATTTCAAATCATCAGACCTTAGAAACTAGAAATGTGAATTCGAAGGATACCGATGGTGTTCTCCACCCCCAGCCCCTCCTTCTCCCATTTAGAATTATAAGTTATAAGGGAAGATTAGTTGTATTCTCAGCATTTTGGTTATATGTTTGATATCTTTCGTAGCTGTCTTTTTAGATCCCTTTAAATGAAACAGTTGTTTTTCTTATCCAAATGTATGTGGTTCTTTCCTCTTCTTTATTTTTTCTTTTTCACTTACTTTTTCTTGTCAAGATAGGACACAAAAGAAGAAGCCAGTTTACTTAAAAACAATATATTTTAACTTTCAAACTAATGCATGTGTGTATGTGTCTATAACAATGGCCTTTTGTGTTGTTTTCTGGGCATGTTGTATGACAATTTCAATTACAGCATTCGGGACAATTGGGAGAAGATAGGGTTCAGTAACACTTTCTTGCATGTCTCTGTCTTTCACATTTAAGGCAATGCACACCTATTTCTAAGGATTCGACGTTGTATTGAAAGAGCCAATTTAAAAATGAAAAAAGATAACCAACCAGTGGTTTTATCTGTTCACTGTCAAAGAGTATTCATTTATTTTTTACAAAGTTAATTATCTTTTTGTTTTGCTAGTGGAACTGGGTTTTTTTTTTTTTTTATGTCCCTGTGTAACCATATCTCTGAGAGTTTTCTACATGTTTATCTTAACAGTTATAAGTTTTTAAATTTCTTTTTATTTCACATAAAAGAAAATCAACCTCTACTGCAGATTTATGAAGTTATCCAAATATCCATACTTCTAAGTCCTTGTGTAGTATCCTCCCACCATTTGTAAGTGTATTAAAACTGCCTTTTTTAAAGAAGAGTTAAAAAAAAAAAGCTTTTAAAATGCAGCTGTTAAAAGGGAGAAAATAAAGTTAACTGTAGACTTAGAAATACACTCCATGTTTGAAATATTTGGCCTAAACAAAAGGGATTGTTAAAGGAAACAAAATGCAATATGGATAAAACTAACACCTTGTATTTGAAGAACATAATTTGAGAAATTAATTATGCAAATTAGATAAATTCGCTGTTTTTAAGATTGTATTAATAATGCAAATCTATTATACTAAATACATATTGATTTAAATATCTATATCAAGAAAGCATGTGCTATTGATACTCTTTTTTAAAACTCATTATATCAGTATTGTTATAATTTTCAAAAGCAACTTCTAGGTGGATATTATATATGCATATAGAATACCTGCACATATTTTATATTCCTGTTTTAGGTTTATTACTGAAACTCACATATTCTAATAGCTAAGTCACTGGTGATTTCTCTGTATCACTTTAAATCATTCCCTAATTCAAATCAAGCTTGAGTGGTTGCTGCTGAGGATTCAGGCATGCCTCCTTTTTGATTTTGAGTACATTGTGTTTGCATGAATTTCTATCTGGCAGAGCCATTAACAAGTTCTTAAATTATTCTAGT